CAAGTAACATAAAAAGGCAAACCTATTAGAATTACACATGACTTTTCCATGGAAACTCTGAAAGCCAGAAGGTCTAGGAGAGATATTCTACCTACACTAAGAGACCATGGATGCCAGCCCAGACTACTATAAACCAGCAAAGAATTCAATCAATATAGATGGAGAAAAAAGATATTCCATAACAAAACCAGATGCAAACAATATATCCACCAATCCAGCCCTACAGAAAGTACTGGAAGGAAAACTGCAACCCAAGGAAGTTAACTACAACCAGAAAAATATAGGCAATAGAGAATCCTACTTTACCAATACCCAAAAGAAAAAAGGGATGGAAACCCACACATAACTTCACCACCACCACCAAATCCAAAACAAACAAGAATGAACAATCAATGGTCAATAATATCCCTCAATATTAATGGTCTTAACTCGCCCATAAAAAGACACAGGTTAGAAAAATGGATAAGAAGACAGAATCCATCCTTCTGCTGCATACAAGAAACACACCTCAACTTCAAAGACAGACTGTTCCTAAGAATTGAAGGTTGGGAAAAGATTTTCCAATCAAATGGACCCAAGAAACAAGCAGGGATACCAATCCTAATATCCAACAAATTAGACTTTAAACTAAAATCAATCGAAAGAGATGAAGGAGGTCACTTCGTACTCATCACAGGAGAAATGCATCAGGATGAAGTGTCACCTCTGAACATTTATGCCCCAAATAAAAAGGCATCCACGTTCCTAAAAGAAACATTACTAAAACTCAAATCACACACAAAACTGCACACACTTAGAGTGGGAAACTTCAACACCCCACTCTCACCACTAGGCAGGTGCACCATACAGAAACTTAACAAGGAAACAAAGGAACTAATAGAAGTTATGTCCCAATTGGACTTAACAGACATCTATAGAACATTACATCTGAACACAAAACAATATACCTTCTTATCAGCGCCACATGAAACCTTCTCTAAAATCGACCACATACTTGGCAACATAGCAAACCTCAACAGGTACAAAAAACTATCTGTGTCTTATCAGACTACCATGCTTTAAAGTTAGAATTCAACAACACAAATTGCAGAAAACCTACAAACTCATGGAAATTAAGTAACGCCCAATTGCACAATCCCTGGGTCAAGGAAGAAATAAAAAAAAATTAAAGATTTCCTAGAATTCAATGAGAATGTGGATACAACATACTCAAACTTATGGGACACTTTGGAAGCAGTACTAAGAGGAAAGTTCATAGCACTAAGTGCTATGAAGAAACAGAATAATCACACTAGAGAATTAACAGCACAATTGAAAGCTCTACAACACAAAGAAGCCAATACACCCTGGAGGAGTAGACACCAGAATATAATCAAATTGAGGGCTGACATCAATAAAATGGAAACTAGGAGAACAATACAAAGAAACAATAAAACAAGGAGTTCATTCTTTGAGAAGATCAACAAGATAGACAAACCTTTATCCAAACTTGACAAACATAAGAGAGTGAGCATGCAAATGAATAAAATCATGAAAGAAAATGGGAACATAATAACAGACACAGAAGAAACCCAAAGAATCATCAGGTCATACTTTGAAAACCTGTATTCCTCAAAATTCGAAAAATCTAAAGGAAATGGATAATTTTCTGGACAGATCTCAATAACCAAAATTAAATCAAGAACAGGTAAGCAACTTAAATAGACCTATAACCCCTAATGAAATAGAAGCAGTCATCAAAAGTCTCCCAACCAAAAAAGGCCCAGGACCAGATGGCTTCAGTGCAGAATTCTACCAGAAATTCAAGGAACAGCTAATACCAATCCTCCTCAAAGTATTCCACACAATAGAAGCAGAAGAGTCATTGCCAAACTCTTTTTAGGAGGCTTCAATAACCTTGATACCAAGCCAGACAAAGACACAACTAAGAAAGAGAATTACACACCAATATCCCTCATGAACATTGATGCAAAAATACTCAATTAAATACTGGCAAATCGAATCCAAGAACATAACAGAGAAATCATCCACCATGATCAAGTAGGCTTCATCCCAGGAATGGAAGGATGATTCAACATATGAAAATCCATCAATGTAATCAACCATATAAACAGACTGAGGGAAAAAAACATGATCATCTCACTATATTCTGAAAAAGCCTTTGACAAAATCCAACACCCCTCCATGATAAAGGTCCTGGAGAAATCAGGGATAACAGAACATACCTTAACATAAGAAAAGAAATACACAACAAGCTGACAGCCAAATTAAAGGAGAGAAACTCAATGCAATTCCTCTAAAATCAGGGGAAAGACAAGGCTGTCCACTGTCTCCATACCTCTTCAATATTGTCCTTGAAGTTCTAGCTAGAGCAATAAGACAACAAAAGGAGATGAAGGGAATACAAATTGGAAAGGAAAAAGTCAAACCTTCACTATTTGCAGATTTTATGATAGACTACATAAGTGACCCAAAAAAACTCTACCAGGGAACTCCTACAGATGATAAACACCTTCAGCAAGGTGGCAGGATACAAGATTAACTCAAATCTGTAGCCCTACTATATACAGATGATGCATTTGTGGAGAAAGAAATCAGAGAAGCATCACCGTCTATAATTGCCACAGTCAACATAAAATACCTTGGGGTAATGCTAACCAAAAAAGTGAAAGACCAGTACCATAAGAATTTTGAGACTATAAAGAAAGAAATTAAAGAAGATACCAGAAAATGAAAGAATCTCCCATGTTCTTGGATAGGTAGGATCAACATGATAAAAATGGGATTCTTGCCAAAAGCTATCTACAGATTTAATGCAATCCCCATCAAAATCCCAACACAATTCATTAAAGACCTTGAAAGAACAATCTCAACTTTACATGGAAAAACAAAAGACCCAGGATACCCAAAACAAGCTTGTACAATAGAAAGAATGTTAAGAACAGAGAAGGAAAAGGGCCAAGTAACATAAAAAGGCAAACCTATTAGAATTACACATGACTTTTCCATGGAAACTCTGAAAGCCAGAAGGTCTAGGAGAGATATTCTACCTACACTAAGAGACCATGGATGCCAGCCCAGACTACTATAAACCAGCAAAGAATTCAATCAATATAGATGGAGAAAAAAGATATTCCATAACAAAACCAGATGCAAACAATATATCCACCAATCCAGCCCTACAGAAAGTACTGGAAGGAAAACTGCAACCCAAGGAAGTTAACTACAACCAGAAAAATATAGGCAATAGAGAATCCTACTTTACCAATACCCAAAAGAAAAAAGGGATGGAAACCCACACATAACTTCACCACCACCACCAAATCCAAAACAAACAAGAATGAACAATCAATGGTCAATAATATCCCTCAATATTAATGGTCTTAACTCGCCCATAAAAAGACACAGGTTAGAAAAATGGATAAGAAGACAGAATCCATCCTTCTGCTGCATACAAGAAACACACCTCAACTTCAAAGACAGATGGTTCCTAAGAATTGAAGGTTGGGAAAAGATTTTCCAATCAAATGGACCCAAGAAACAAGCAGGGATACCAATCCTAATATCCAACAAATTAGACTTTAAACTAAAATCAATCGAAAGAGATGAAGGAGGTCACTTCGTACTCATCACAGGAGAAAACCATCAGGACAAAGTCTCAATTCTGAACATTTATTTCCCAAATACAAAGGCATCCATGTTTGTAAAAGAAACATTACTGAAACTCAAATCACACATAAAACTGCACACACTTATTGAGGGTGACTTCAACA